AGCTTCTTGACATTGAAGGTATAAAAAGTGTCCCTGAACCTGGTGACACAGCTAATTTAACCCACATAAAAACAGTCGCAGAAGTCAAATCTGTATCCCAACTATCAAAAGGAGTGTTACACAAGAGCCCCGCTTCCCCCTGCATCAGGTTGGGCTGCATCCAGTCCTTCACTCCCAACCCTGGAACCGGCAGTGATGGACCTAAGGGGAGACACCCAACTGATTTAGGATGGCCCCGCAGACATCAACGAAGCTGCCCCTCGAAGCCGCCATCTGGGTCTCACCTGACAAGAGGGGGAAAAGCCACAACGCCCACTCCTCTGGAGGCCACCAGCATGCCACTGCCATAGCCTGAAACACCTCCATGAAATATTCCTCCATCCTGTGCAGCATCACCGCCGGAACAGGAGGGCACACCAGCACAGCGGCCCCAGACTGAGTGACCAGGTTGTCCTGCATCTGCATTTGCTGCTGAGTCTGGGTCTGCAGCTCTTCCAGGTGTTACGTGTACCACCACCTGCTGCTGCTGCTGCTGCTGCTGCTGCTGCGCAGCCTCCATGTCAGCCATCATTTTGGCCAGCACCTGAATTAGCTGGAGGGCTTGCGGATTCACCATGTCATGCCAGTAAGTTTGTTACGCTGATCCGCCACCACAGTAGTCTTTAGGAATATTTCTCCAGGTTTCTTGAAGGACATTCAATGGTCTTCTCTGGATGTTGGCTGCTTTTTTTTGCATTCTCCATCAAGATGATCTCACAGTGCTTCAGGCCAGAGCTTTGGGGAGGCTGATCCATGATCCTTTGGATGATATACCAAAGATTACTGATGCCTGTGGTGGCAGTGGTATAATCTGAGTTGCTTCAGTTGGTTGGGTCTAAGTTAACCAATCCTAAGTGCCAAAGGATGAGGTCAGCTGAACTTCTGATTGTAATGAATGACCAAGCTCTTATATCATCAGTAAAAGAGTTTTGTGAAAAATTAACAACCGTGAATGCAACCATGAACGGAAATAAATGCTATGACATTGCAGAGGTTTATCAAGCAATGCTACTGCATGCTGTCATTAAAGCTAAAGAAAGTCCAACAAAACATTAGAGTATGTGATCTTTTTGTTGTTGTTGTTTTAGGCTGGACAGTGTAATTAATATGTATATAAAACAGCAGGTATTATTCATCTCTGTCTCTCTTCCAGTCACGTCAGATGGCTGCCCTTTTTGTGAACCTAATCCTGCTGGAGGTTTCTTCCTGTTAAAAGGGAGTTTTTCCTTCTCACCGTTGCCAAGTGCTTGGTCACAGCGGGACGTCTGAATGTTGGGGGTTTTTCTCTGTATTATTATACGGTCTTTACCTTACAATATAAAGCACAAGAAGATTCTGGGTTTGAATCTGCCAGCTGACTGAGGTCTTTTTGTGTGAAGTTTGTATTGTTTTGCCTTAAATCCCGCCAGGTATTGTGGCTTTCTTACGCTGTCCAAAGTGAATGAATAAATTATTGTTCATCTCTCTGTGTCGGCCCTGTCATGGACTAGTGACCCTATCCAGAGTGTATACAGGGCCTGTGTATACAGCTGGGTTCCAGCCGCCTTGTGCCTCTGAATTGGGTAAGAAGAAAATGGATGGGGGGACTACTAGACTGATCTGATAATGACATGTTATGGCTTTAGATCATTTACTGGCTATTATGTACTGAACTGTAGTTCAGGTATTTTGTTCCTTTATGCATGTTCCTTTATTCAAATTTGGAGCAGCTAAAAGCAGAAGATACATGAAAGTGGAAACAATGTGTGTGTCTGAATGCAACAAAACTTCCAGTAACCTTTGCCATGAACCATGTTAATTACCACAGGGTGCTTCCACAGCACTGTGCCTCTGAAAATTGTGAAAATTGTGACTTCTAGGGTTTTGAGGCTTTTATTTTTGTCACTGTATTTTATGCTTGTAAAGTAATGTCAGTCAGTCTGGCACTGGGTAGTATATTGAGGGCTCACTGTACTATCACTGAAGTCAGTTCCATTGGCAGAATCTCAAAACTCATAACCATCAGATTACTCCCACAGCTGGAAACAAATGAAATAGAAAATTAAAAGTGCTGCACTTAACAGTTAAGGAAGGTAAGAGCACTAAATATCCCTGCAGCCAAAGGAAATGACAGAACTAAAGACCTATTTCTGTCTGTGTGGCCTTCCTATGTTGGCAGACTAGACTAAACTGTGCCACAGCTGAAATTATGCCCCAGAAACCTCTCAGAGGCCTTGTTCTGTTAAGAGACCGCCATGCCTAGAAATACTGCCGCCACAAACCCACAGGGCAGGAGGGGACTGTCCGCCTCAGATTTGAAGCTCAGACTCACGGGGTGTGTTTTTTTTTTGCCTCAAAATGGCGAGGGTGAAATTAAAGGCAGTGTCTTCATGTAATTGCACATGGATGTGCCCACTGCCCATGAATCTGACCCTAGCTCTTGCACTCTAATGAAAGGTTGAGAGCTTGAACAAGGCAAAACCCTGGCAGAGTGATGGCTACAGGGATTTCAGCCAAATAGATTTTGTAATGTGCCCATAGTACTATAGCAAAGGGCCCTTATCTTTATTCTATCCGGCCATTTTCATGTAACCACTAGTTCTCCTGTTTGAATGAGAGGCTATTATGTTAGCAGTCAGAACAAAGCATGATAATCAATTATGAATGTCTCTGGGATATGTTATCCAAATAGGTATTTGTAAGTGTACTTTCTTTTTGTATAGCATAACTATAGCATGAATAATTGATATCTTTATAGGTTTGGACCTCGAATCAAGTTATATTATTAGTTAAATGTTCTATATATCTATAGAGAGCAAGTTGACCTTGTGCAAAGCTGTTTAAGAATAATAGACACATCAAGCATGCTTTATTATACTGCAGGCCAAAAATGTCTAGATATATGTAAAGCAGTACAGGCTGCAACATTAAACTGATGTTATATGGCAAGGTCTCTGTAATTATAAGCGAATAATGTAATAGATATTAATGCACTAAAATAGAGGTTGCTAAGTCAATAACCTTTAGCCATAGAGTACTTCTACATTGTGCAGCTTTTACCTAAAGAAATTATGTTAATATTGACCGCCATGTCACATAACACTATATACTTTAAAAAGTCCGGGGCCGACTGTAGCTTAGCAGTGGAAAGTTTCCCCGAGGAATGGACTTACCATCTGTGAGGCCAGCTACTCTGAGGGAAGCAAGGTTATACTGTACAGTACTTTCAAATGATGGGTTGCAGCTTGTAGGTTATACTTAAATAATATGGCATTATAATAGCAGGAAATTGCACATAACACACATGGTGCATTGATGATTTAGGGTAGTTGTAAAACATCAGATCATAAAGAGTGGAAGCTACACACACCACTTGTTAAATTAGTGTCCTGCACACAAGATGATTCAGCCCGGTTTGAACCAAAGACGTCTGCAAAGGAACAATTTAGTGAGGGTGGTCTTGAAAAAGTGAAAAGCCCCCCACTTCCACCCATGCTCCTCTTCTGTAGGCTATGAATACACATAAACATAGACTCACTCTGACCACATATTATGGGTTAGTACTTGCTGATGGTTTCATATTTGGAACTACGTTTATGTAAATGCAGATGTGAGCCCCACATCACTGCAGTTTGCTGAAAAACCCAAGGTTTTTCCAACCATGCTCCCAGTTTGTTAATCCAGCTGCCTTTTACATACACCCACTCCGTGATTGGTCCCAGATTTGCTGCGGGTCCGGAGTAACTATTTGGCTTTTTCCCTGAAATTTTTCCCATTGCTGCTGGCACAGTGTGTGACCTGCAGGAAATGACTGAGAATTGTGACTGTAACAAAGCTAATGGACCGGTGCCAGACCGCAGCTGTTTATTTAACCACACAAAGCATTCTTCTGGGTTAATAGCCGCAGACACTCCAAGATATTGACTATTTAATGATTTGGTCTGAGACACAGTACAGTATGTGCTTGGTTTGGGGGGGAAATTGCAAAAAGCTAGATGTGTGGCACCATATCAAGCAAAGCAATAAGGTTCCTAGCAGTGGAAGCAGTGACTCAGTTATTCTGGGCTCGAGCTGTGGACTTTTGTTTGAAAATGGAGCTTTGTGTTTTAGTCCTACGTGGTTCGCTGTGTTTCGTTACAGTCAGGGAAGTCTTAAGAATCTCCTCAAAGCGCTTTGTCACATCTGTTTTAAGGAGTTATTATCTGTCAGTCTGCCTCTCAGACTCTTTACTGCCAGCCCTGCCCATCCTTCCAGGATGTGAGGTCACAAGAGAATGACCAGAACAAAGGATGGGCAGCAGTCATACACTCTTACAGCACCGCTCTCTCCTTTGGGTCCATGTCAAATAAAAAGTAGTGATTTGCATTCTGTTCACAGGTTTTATCAGTGGTTTACATCAGTTGTTGTGACTAGCATTTTGATTTTTCTTTCGATGCTTATGATTTATTATTTGTAGTTTAAAACAAAAATTATAACCAGACTGCTGACTTCCCACTGGGATTCATCATTACCTGAACCAGGTCAGAACCTCCACTCAACCTAAATTTAACCACTCAATTTAAACATTGGACTCACGTGAAATAAGGCATTACAGTCCTATCAGAGTTTTAAGTAGCCCAAAGATATATATTTAACATTGCTGCTCACATTAAGAGTCACTGTTGTTACCTAGTGAGCTAGCAACGCTACCAAAGCTCTTTAAACAAACAAACAAACAAACAAACCCAAAACACTTTGATGCGCAGGCAAACGATAAAAACAAGTAGGTTTGCACCTTTGGTTCCCCAGTTAATAAAACCCTAAGTAAGTGTTTTGTTGTGAGTGCTATAACGAACATAGCTGAGGACAACGTGTGAGAATGAATCTTTGCATCTCGTGTCCACAAACATACCTCCTGTCGGCGCGCGCGCGCTTCTGACCCCCAGAGCAGCCTCCCTGCGCTCGCAGTCCGGGCTGAAGAAGGGGAGGGAGGGGTGTGACTACCAGCCGACCGTCGACAGCTCCGGAGTTTCCAGAGCTCAGTGAAAAAAAAAAAAAAAAGATGAGGAGCTGCTCTCTTCTGCCGAACAACGAAGAAAGAATTAAAGTTCAACGGAAAAGAAAGGAACTCAGATAATCGACTGCGATGAAATGTGCGTCCAAAAGTGCGGGACTGACTTTAAAAACAAAGCGAACTGCGAGCATCCAGAGGTAAGTTGTTTTAAAGCTGCTGGTTCTTTCTTGGAGATTTAGACAGCTTGAAGCTGCAAAAAAAGAACTCAGTAATTAAACTGGCGCTATTTGCTGAAATCCGTCGATAATTTACACGTGACGACTGTGCCAGAAATATGCTAATTTTATGCATAAATAGGTGTTTTCAAATGGGCAGCTTCGATTTTCAAGACTTCTCTGTTTCAAAGGAGAGGGGGGAAAGCGACATCAGAGTTTATTTCAAGGTGTTTTTTACAATAACGAGTGTGTTTCTGGTGAATAACCTTTTGTTTCTATAATTAGTGGAATTTAATCAAACAAACCGCACAAGGACAATGATGGCAGCATGATGTTCTGTAAATTGGCTGCTCTCTATAATAACGCTCAATCTACTCCTGCAGTTGAACACAGTGGACACCGCGCTCCCTGCTCAAGTCTGACCTCCAGTGTCGGCAGCTGGTATTCTTTGGACAATGATCAACTCTCAGATCCAGCTCCACTACAACTACACAGGAAAGCTGGCCAACCGGCCAAGCATTGGCGCGAGCCCCGGCACTGTGGACACCAAAACCGTAGTTTTCCTCATCGTTTGCAGCTTCATCGTCTTGGAGAACCTCACAGTGCTTGTAGCCATATGGAGGAACCACAGGTTCCACAACCGCATGTACTTCTTCATCGCTAACCTGGCAATGTGCGACCTGCTGGCTGGAGTCGCTTACCTGGTCAACCTGCTCCTGTCTGGAGAGAAGACCCTGCAGCTCTCACCTGCTCTCTGGTTTGTGAGAGAGGGGAGCATGTTTGTAGCACTTGGAGCCTCCATTTTCAGTCTCCTGGCTATTGCTATAGAGAGACACCTTACTATGATCAAAATGAGGCCTTATGATGCGAACAAGAACTACAGGGTATTTCTGCTCATAGGGACCTGCTGGCTGATTGCTATATCTCTTGGAGCTTTGCCTATTCTGGGCTGGAACTGCCTGAATAACCTCCCTGATTGCTCCACAATCCTCCCTCTTTACACCAAGAAATATGTTGCTTTCTGCATCACGGTTTTCATGCTTTTGCTCTCAGCCATAGCCATCCTGTATGCCCGCATCTACATCTTGGTCAAGTCCAGTAGCCGAAAGGTGAGCAAGCACAGCAGTTCAGAGCACGCCATGTCCCTACTGCGCACTGTCATCATCGTAGTTGGAGTTTTCATCGCCTGCTGGACTCCCCTCTTTGTCCTGCTCCTGGTGGATGTAGCGTCCAAGCAGAGGTCCCCCATTCTTTACGAAGCCCACTGGTTCATTGGGCTGGCGGTGCTCAACTCCGCGATGAACCCAGTCATCTACACTCTGGCCAGCCGCGAGATGAGGCGAGCTTTCCTGGGTCTGGTTTGTGGCTTTTGCTACAGGGCGAAGGCGTCTGCGAACGGGAGCGGAAACAGACAGTCCCTGGAGCCCAGCCGCAGCAGGAGCAAGTCGTGGAGCAGCCAGAACCAGCAGGGCTCCAGGCAGTCAGAGCCGGAGAGAGGACAGGAGTCAGACAGGGGCCACGGAAAGGTTTCAGTGGTGGCTGGAGCAAGCAGAGGTACTGCTGAGGCTGCGAGTGACAGAGAAGATTAAAAGGAGACAGGAGTAATTTACAGTAATACTCTGAGCTTAAGGGCTTGTGCAGTAGTCACAACGGAGAGCATTGTTCCCCAAAAAAGTGTTTCTTTAAATGAAGGGTAGATTTCTGACATTAGCTGCAGGGCAGTGGTTTCTTTTTGCTATATGTTCATCATCTGTAATGTATGGCTCTTTCAAGTCCAGCCTCCAGTGCTCAAAACTTTGGAGTGCTCAAGAGTTTGGAGTCACATTGTCCTTTTTTTGTTGTTGGGGTTTTTTTGCTGGATAACAGTCACTTCCACAGATGACTGGTGCTCTTACCCTCAACAGAAAGGACTTTTACCTCCGTAGTTGCAGCTGTGATCTCCTATGATAAATTAGAAGTAAAAATTTACCCGCAGTTACCAAATAAGTGCAATTATATCACTGCAAAAACCAATGTAATGAAGAATGATTGTAGACTATTATTATTGCAATGACACACAGCTGAAGGTATTTATTAATCTACGTAGTTTGTATTTACTCAGTAATCCTACAGTATGCTGGGCAGTTACTGTAATCTGCATTGTATAATAACCAAGGCAAGAGTTACTCATAGTGAAGAAACAAACAGGTGCGTTTTTTTGTATTATATTAGTAGCATTGTGCTCAAAATGAAAGCGTTCGTGATACAAGGGCTCCATCTGCTGGTCTTACTCAGTACTGCTGCATGTTCTCTATGCAGCTACAGCAGTTCTTTGTGTGCATTTGTTTTGAGCTTTAAAAGCATGACGCTAGAAAGCTGAAGACTGTAAAGAGGCACGTGAATGCAGCATGTGAAATACAAATTGCAGATATTCATGTTAGATAAAAAAAAAAATCAGCATTCACTCAGTAAATTAAAATGGAAAACTATTAAATTTACTGTGTAACAATTCATTAGAATCACCTTGTGGCCAAGAGAGTGCAGCTCTGCTTTGTTTATGAGAGGAACTTATAAAGGCTTGGTTCACCAATAAAAGTATTTACTGTGTAATCTAGCCATGCTTTTGATTTTGTTAGTCAAGATTCAGAAGCATGGGTCTCGCTGTAGCTCACCTGGCTGTACAGGTGACTCAGTGCTGAAGGCTGCTGCAAAGGTTAGGCTCTGAGTCTGACCCAGACCATTTTCTGCATGTCCTTACCGCAACTCTTTTCCCTGCTTTCCTGTCCACTCCCTGTACTGCACCATCTAATAAAGGCTGAAAATGCAAAAAAAAAAAAGATAAAAGAAGATGTAAAATATTATGTTTTAACGATTTCTGGAGGCAATCTAACACACAATGCATATACACTAAGTTGTGTTTTCCGTGGCTCACAACATCTATTTCCTAAAACCAATTTCCAGTCACTGTGGACAATCCACCTGGAACTTATTTACTCTTGCTTTTCATGGGAACTAATATAAATAGTGCGGACTGTGGATGACCCAGAGTAACACATCTCAAAGACAAGTATATGTGAATGTGGGTAAATTAAAACCACCTGCGCGTTTTAGATGAGAAATCTGTGACTCATGAGCAGAAATATTAATACCTGAAACTATTACAGCAGAGAAACAACAGCGATTCTACACATTCACGGTTTTATTGCCAACAGTCATACAGAATAATGATTAACTAATACAACCAAAAGATTAAATCTGTAAACATCATTTGGACTTGTTGTCTCTATGTTTTTATTTCCTTTTTCCCCCCCAGTTTTTTTTAAATACCTGTCCCAAAATAGTGAGTTTCTGTGTGATTTCCTCTGACAAAGATTTATATTTAGAATCTCGAAATGATACATTTATAATATATAATAGAGAGGGAGGGAGGGAGGGTGGGAGACAGATAGTGAGAGGGAACAGTAGTCTCAAGCAGCAACACGCAGCAGGGCAAAAACACAACCTCTAGTGAACAGGCATGCCCCATTGAAGATCAGCTATTGCACTTTGAAGGAAGAGAGAAAGGAGAAATTAAAAACAAACATTGTACAAATAAAAGGCACATTTTCATCAACAGAAATCTGGAAAGACGCCATGTTCTTAGTTTTTGTCCCGGTGAGGAGTTTGGTCATTTCTTTAAGTCTCAAAGCTGATCCTCGGCGAGATTCGAGTGCGGTTGCTTTTGATATACGCTTTGTTTGTTTGGAATTTTGCACATTTTCCCAAAGTGTTCTTACAAATTCAGATTTTAGAAATAAAGCTTCTTTTTTCTTTACATTAGCAGAGTGCTTTTAAATAATTTAGCACATTATTCTTTCTTCAGAGTTATTTGATTTGATGAAATTATGTCGCAAAAAGAATGCAAAAGTAAATGACAAAATTCTCTTTGTGTCCTTCTCCATTGGGACACAATGAATCAAACACATTAACCCAAAACGGATGTGGTGGATGGTTTTTTTGATGTTGTTTTTTAAAATTTTCATAAGGACCCCAGTGCTGTGGGTTGTGAGATGCATGTACTGTACACTCCCTCTTGCAGCAAAACACAGGCACATTATATTACATTGCATCTGTCTTGTCAAACTCATTGAACACATGCTGATTTGGGTTCAACTGAAGTGATCCAGTGCATATCAGATACAATGCCCCATTCATTTGGTATCCATCGGTGTCCTGACATTAGTAAGGATAAAAGCATTAAATAAAAGAAAAAGAAGTCAGTTTCCAGTGCTGCTGTGTACCACTTCTATGAGCTTTTTAAAAACAACATAAATACTAAACTGTCCAGAGGAATGAGAGCGTACAGTGGATTGCAAACTGAAAATTAATGGTTAAAAACTGGCTTAAAAGCTGTATTTTCCTTTCAAACGCAGTGTTATCCAAAGCAGATGTAACTGACAGGGGTAACTATCCAACTCTAGGGTGACATCTTGTGGCAAAACTGTTTTTATCATAAGATGTCGACACTGAGAAATCAAAAGCTAACAGTAACTGAAAACGATCGAAAGCATCTTAAACATTTGGCGTAAACACAAGACACTCGTCTGACACGCGTGAACTAAGTGACCTAACTTTGTTTTGTGCTATTCGTTTCAGATCCTTCAAATAATAATAGTAATAATAATATTTAAGATTTTAAACGTTCACAAAAAGCGGAAAATGTGAATCAAAGTGGTGAGAATATCCATTGCAAGCCCCAAAACTAATCACCGACTACACACCTAAAATAATTCAGCGAAAAACCAATTCGGAAATAGTTTGAAAAGCATATATTTTTTGTCTTTTTTATTTATTTATTTTTTACAGTGTCAGCATACATAAGCACCTCTTTCAAATAAAGGGGTATCAAGGTCTACGAACATGGCCACGAGAACGGTTGATTTTAAGTCATGCGACTGCAGTGACACGAGAAAATACTTCTTAAAAAACTTTATCGTTAAAGCCATTGACAGCACTGTGAAAGGGTGGCTGTTTGCACCCCCTCCCCCCACCCAACAATTTGTGACAACTGCAAAGCAAAAGAAACAAAAAACACATTCAGGCCTAAACCCGATAAAAGCTAGGTTTTTCTTATAGTGACTAATCGAATAAGCTGTCACGCTTGTTGGTGAGATTAAAGGACGTTTTTCCGAACGTAATTTCGTTATAAAGAGCGTTTCCGTTTCCTCAACCTCTTAGCCGACGGTTCCTGTAGAAATGTGGTTGTGCTTGACAGACAAAACTAAAGTTTCAGATTTTTATTCTAAAATACTCTTGTTAATACCTCTTTGAGGTTTGATTTGCGCTTTGTCTAAACTACAAGAACAATAGTCTTTTTCTTAATCTTTTAAAACACCAAATCGAGATATTGTGTCCAAATGCACCTAAGTCTTGTCAAAAATATAGCATTTCAGTCATCACAACAAAATAATAACAGTTCTCTATTGTTTTTTTCATCTTTAACAACTCCTGCATCTTCCAGCGTCTCCGGTTAAGTAACTGCAGATCAGTTTGTCTCAATAACTCTTTGAGCGAACTGAGCCTTGAAGCATCGACTCATGTTTCATCTTCAAGCTCCGTAGTGAGAGGCCACTTTAGCGCTTCCTATTACCGGTCAGGCATCGCAAGCATCACTGTTTCCTTCCCACAGGCTGTAGGAGACACAGTTCACTCCCGGCTGAAACAATCGGCAGGTTGTTGTCACGGTGATGGCCAATAAGGTGGCTAATGCTGTCAAATATGTGATCTTTTGTCCGTACCTTAAAAAGAAAAAGGAAGACAGATATTCAGATTCTGCTTTGGTCTAATGAGAGTTTCATCTTTTACTTTCATGCATTCACAAAAGAGTTAATGAATCAAGCTCCGTGTGTCCTGCTACACCCCCCTCACCCGTCTTACCGTGCCTTCAGGGTCCACCAGCAGCAGGTGTTTGGCAATTCCATTGTGCATGCCTGTCAGTACGTAGGACCCTGGGTTGGTAGTGCTCTTACGGACGAGAAAGTCCCCGTCATTTTTCAGAAGTTTTTCAGCATCGCGGCGACTCATTTTACCGTGGTACCACATTTGGCCCTCCAGCTCCTCCTGAGCCCGGAAGGCCAGAGAGCGGACAAGCAGAGGGCTCGAGTTGTCCACGGATGCTGCCTTGTGAAGACCGGATACCTGGGACTGGGCCTGTCCCTGAGACAGCGGCTGGGACTGGGACTGGATTGCATCTTCGAAGGGCTCTGGCACGATGAGGACAGTGCCAAAAGGTGAGTTAAGAGAGGAAAAGTAGGTACAGTAAATTTTAAATCAGCATAACTATCAAATAGACAAAAAAGGAATATAAATGTGTTTCTTCCTTTTGACTTTGACACACCAAATGTTGATTTTGTCAATAACTGCAAATATATTAGCTTCATTTTTCTAAATTCAGTGTTCAACAGAGGTGATCCTCAAAATAGAAACACATACTGTATTCATTCCCCAAATATACTCCATCTGCCGTGCTGTGATAAAATATTTGTCCCCTTCTTGAGCTTTTAGGGTTTTTTTTATTGTGTATATTATCATATAAAGATAACACACGTAAATCCAAACTGCAGTTTTTAAACAATGATTTTATTTATTAAGGGGATAAGACTATCTAAGCCTACCTGGCCTATTTGAAGAAATCATTTAATAACTGTTAAATCATGAATTAACTACATGAATTTCACTAGCCATCCTCAGGTCTGATTATTGAGAAATCAATTAAATAGAACCTGCCTGACAAAGGTAGGTAGGTAGCGAAACAATCTCAAAAAGCACCATATCATGATCTAAAGAACCAGCTGAGACACAAAGTCTTTAAAATCGAGCTAGAAAGCCATTTCTAAGGCTTTGGTAGGCTTTGGTACTCCAGCAATTCACAGTGAGAGCCATTAGCCACACATGGCTCAAAAATGTTAATGAAGGTTTTGGAGTGAAAATCCAGACATAAATTTGATTGGGATGCTGACCATAAACAGGGTGCTCATACTCAAAAATTCTCCAGTGTGACTGAATTCAAACAATTCTGCAGAGGCCACAATTCCTCCACAGTGACGTAATATACTCATTGCCTGTTATCACAAACAACTGATTGCAGTTCTTTCTGCCAAGAGTGGCACAACCAGTTATTAGGTTTAGGGGGCAGTTTTTCCACACAGGCCCAGGTAGGTTTGGATACCATTGTATTAATAAAAGAAATCCTCACTTTGAAACTGCATTTTTTGCATTTACTTTATTTATCTTTGCCAAATGTTAAATTGGTTTGATGATCTGAAACATTTAAATGTGACAAATATACAAAACATCCCCTGAATGTGCCTGTACTGTTTCCCATAGCATGTAAACTGATGTGATGATATGCCGATGACACTGTTTTGTGTCTGATGGTTTGAAAGGTGTCCTAAGCCAGGGTCGCAGAGAGAGGGCTGCTGGACTGTCAGCTGCCTACAAAGGTATCAACCTATAACTTAACCAATCAGAGTCAGTCACTCATTTGTTTGGATGGTGGGGAGCAGCTCAGAAACTGTACATAATATTTATGAAATAGAACAGTAACAATGTATGTATTTTTTCAGCTTAAAAGGTTTAGACAAAAGTACAGTTTTTTTTGTTTTTGTTGTGTTTTTACTTGTTATATTGTTATCTGTTGGCCCTCTTGACCAGGTCTCTATTGGAAAAGAGATTTTAATCTCAATGACTTTTACCTGGATAAAAAAAGGTAACAATTAACATGAACTCACTAAAATGTGATTAACTGTTATAGAACT